GACTGGTTAAGGACAGTTCTTACCCCTCTGATAAAGGACTGGTTAGTGACTGGTTAAGGACAGTTCTTACCCCTCTGATAAAGGACTGGTTAGTGGCTCGTTAAGGACTGGTTAAGGACAGTTCTTAACCCTCTGATAAAGGACTGGTTAGTGGCTGGTTAAGGACAGTTCTTACCTCTCTGATAAAGGACTGGTTAGTGGCTGGTTAAGGACAGTTCTTACCTCTCTGATAAAGGACTGGTTAGTGGCTAGTTAAGGACTGGTTAAGGACTGGTTGAGGACAGTTCTTACCCCTCTGTTGCTGGCATTTTCCTGCAGAAATTTCCTGAACTTGTTGAGGAAAATGTAGCGAGAAGCTTCTCCCTGAAAGTGAACGGATCGAGACGTTGAACAGAATCAAGGGCAATAATGAATAAAGAGCTGAATTCATGTTCACAGATGTTCAGCTGCTCCGGTCTGATTCTCATCACCGAAGCTTCAGATAAGCCAAACACAGCGTCGCAGCTCCATCAGTCCACAGACCAACAACACAACAACTTTCATCCAGACACACAACGTCATCGTAACAACTCAACCACACCTTTAGACTCTCTGTGTTCACTACTAAGATTCATAGAGAATAAATTCTAACGTATCTGTTGGATTCATCACTACAGATGTTTTTCAGCTGGTTTGGTCTCCACAGGAGATGGTTCAGTTGTAGAACCCCGGATCGGAACATCCTCCTCTTTGGACATCAAGACATCATCATAGATAAGTCATTTTATTAGAGTTATTAAATCAGCACCACATTTGATCAATAACTGGACCGCTGGTTCCAGTCAGACCCTGAACTCTAATAAATGAGCCACAGTTCAAACAGTGAGCTAAACAGCTGATGGACCGAGGTCGCCGGCACGTCTGACTCACCAAACACAAGAACTCACTGAGATGTCCATGAACACATTTAGCTTTTTATTAAAGACACGTATCGTAACCAAAACACACAGCGACACTAATCAACATGCGCCTTAACCCTGTGATAACAACAACTAGTTCCTCGTGGCTCCTACAGGTGGATTCAGGCTTCTTCTGCTGAGGATTTGGATCTGAACTGGACCCAGCGGAACATGAAGAGTCCCCCGAGGTCATCTTCACCTTCCTCTCATATCCATCAGGAGCCAAACTGTCACAACCAGCCGTGACCAGGCGATAGACGGATCCCTGAATACTAAACTATTCATATCCCACAGAAGACATTTACGTTCACAGTGACTCACAAAGTAAACAGCAGAGATGATTCTTTATGACCTTCTGCATCAGTGTTTTCCATCAGGTTGATAAAATAATTTCTAACAATGACATCAGATGATCATGAAACTGGAAACGCAGCAAAAATGGAACTAAAAGCAGCAGATAAACACACAGACATGTAAAAAACACTCATGAAAATATTACTGATCAACATGTTCTGCTCTCGCTGAGCAGATGTTGAAACCTTCAGGATTTTGAAGCTTGTTTACATGATGACACTGCTGCTTCTTGGTGAAAAAACATGAAACGTTCATTATTTTCATAGCATTAATGTGAAAGAGAGAAGACTGTTAAATACCTCAGTGATGCATCATTACGTTTGGTGTGAACAAGGTGTACGATTAAAGTATTAGTGGGAGCTTTAACGAGGCCACAACGATTTAAAAAATGAAACCTGAAGAGATCAAAAACGTCCCAAAGGTTGAGGAGTGTCAGTGAAGAAGGTTTTCTGCTGTGAATGTAATTTAAGTTCAGAGCAGAAACACAAACATGCTTTAATAGAAATATCTCGATGAATAAAGCTTTACGTCAGCCAGCAGCAGCTTCCTGCAGCTCCAGTCAACAGGTAGGAAAAGTAACTGAACACACGTTAAATCATGTGTTCCATCAGTTTCATCCCATCTATGCTCTGAAGCTTTCCACACAGGATCCATATATCAACTGACTTTTCTCATAAAAAAAATGGAGAAAATGATCCGTAAAACCTCTGACTCTAACGTGACAGCTTTTGAAATTGATTGGTGCATGTTTGAAGAGAAAATGTGTTTAAAGAGAAGCGTGCAGAAAACCTGTCGTACTAAATGATGTTACTACCATGAGTCAGCAGATATCTGCTAGGTGAGCTCATGTAAGGCTTTAGGATGAAGGAAGCTTCAGGCTGCCGAGACATGAAGCGTTCACGTACCGTCGTTTTGTCCTTGTTGTTGAGCAGCAGCCTCAGGATCTGAACCTGCAGCTCTTCCACCACTGTACAACAGACAGACACCTGGGTTTAGTTTCAGCTCAGACATGCAGCAGCTCTCATCCTGTCGCTTTCTGCTGAACATGTGTGGAACAACCTTCGATCCTCTTCTTCAGCCTCTGGCAGCCCCTCTCATAGGCTCGACGCCTCAGACGTTCATCTGCACTCTCGTCTTTGGGTTCTCGCTCGTCTTTACCCTAAAACACGAAGCGAACAGAACTGACACTGATCAACCGATCCAACCACAAAACTGATCCCACAGAGGATTCTGGGTAAATAAACTGGAACATGTCATTGGGCTTAAAGAAACCGCACTAAACTGGTTTAAATCATATTTATCAGACAGATTCCAGTTTGCTCATGCTAATGATGATTCTTCCACTTGAACCCTAACCCAGCAGAGTTAGTTATGTAGTTCCACAGGGCTCTGTGTTAGGACCTATATTATGTACCTGGTACATGCTCCTCTTAGGCGGTGTTATCAGGAAGCACTGCAGACATGTCCATTGTTATGCAGACGACACCCAGCTATATTTATCCATGAAGCCAAATGAAACCAATCAGCTGGTCAGACTCCAGGCATGTCTGAAGGACATAAAGGCCTGGATGACCTGTAACTTTCTTCATTTATTGTATTTGGTCCTGAACACCTCAGAAACACACTATGGAACCAGATAGCTGCTCTAGATGGCATCGCCTTGGCCTCCAGTTCTCCTGTACAGAACCTTGGAGGTATTTCTGACCAGGACATGTCCTTCAATAGACATATAGAACCAGTCTGTAGGACGATCTTCTGTCATCTACATAATACTGTAAACATCAGGATCATCCTGCCTCAGAGTGATGCTGAGAAACTAGTCCATTATAAAAACGTTCCTCTGTGATGAAGCTGATAGTTAGAGCGGCTCAGGATCACCTGAATTGTCCCTTAGTGATGCTGCTGTAGCTTTAGACTGCCGGGGGACTCCCATGACGCACTGGGCTCCTCTCCTCTCCATTCAGTACATTCACTGACTCTGTGTTTGTTCTCTGGATCTGGAGCTTTACGTTTCTGATCTACAGTTTGTGCTCTCACCGGCCTCCAGAACCTTTATTGTTGTTCTGTTCTCAGCCTCTAACCTCAGCCCGACCAGCCTCTCTGGGTTCTTCCTGGTCAGCACAAGTCTTTTCTCTCACTGTTGCTGCTCACATGAAACTGTGGATTTGTTGTGTCTCCCTGTATGAAGCTGAAACTTCTTCATCCCACTGAGATCACACACGGTGTGAAGATAAATACAACTGTGATAAAAACCAAACAAGTCCCTGCTGCTCTGCTGTAGCTGCTGATCATTCTCTGGTTTGTTTTTATCATGTCAGAGAATTGTGAAAAATGTGGATCAGTGTTTCCTCGAATGTCTTGTTTTGTCCAAAACCCTTCTCTGTGTGTCGGCTCTTCTGGTGGGACTTTTGACTTTATGCCTCTTGTCTGCAGTAAATAAAGATCTGTTCCTATCGAAGGACTCGTTCTGATATGATCAGAATCAGAAACAGATTTATAGCAAGGTTTAGTTTACACAGTACGAGGAATTTGTTCTGGTGGGTCGGTGCAACAATAAATACACAGTGAGGTCCAATGTACAAGATAAAAGTATAAAAATAGCTAAAAAACAAAGTAACTGAGAATAAAAATAAGTGCAGTCGTGCAAAGCAGAAGCAAAAATATTGTGCAGTGAAGAATTAAGTCAAATATAAATAAGAACCATAGAATTGTGATTATTTACAAGAATATTGAGGGAGCAGAAATATTGATATTTACATTTATACAGATGATCAACAGAGTGCAGACTGAAGGTGTGGAGGTGCAACAACAGGTGCAACACAACAACGGTAGAAAAACTTCTCCAGCTGTCTGCAGCTCACAGGTGAGTCTGACTCGTCCTGACTCGTCGGTGACACCTGGACTGGCCGAGAGCTGAGCGACTCACCTCCTTGTCGAAGTGCGTCGGCCACCAGGTGGTGGGGATGAGCTCCTCTAGCCCCGCCTCCTTCACCCTCAGAGGAGTCTTGATGTAAAAGAAGACGACGGAACGAAGGACATCGAACGTGAGCTTCTGTTAAGGACAACCTGGACAGCTTTGACAGTTTGACTTCATGTCTGCAGCTCAGCACAAGGATATAAAACGTTGTTCAACAGGTACTTCCTGGATTTCTCATGGCGAAGGATGGCGGTGGTCAGACGCAGGTAGTGGATCTAAAACAAACAGGGCAGCGGTAGCTGAACAGAACCTGCAGAACACGTCCAGATTCTGGAACGAGAAGCTTCACTGCATAACCTGACGGCTTGTTAGTGTTTGAATAAAGTCCGTCCTACCTGGAAACCCAGATCTGGGATGATGGGAGAGAATCTGTAGGCTCTGAGCAGAGACATCATCAGCTGCTTCAGACACTCATTCACCTCGTAGTCCTGCAGACACACAGATTCTTTATTGTCTGTCGGAAGTTAAAAACGGGTCTCTGAAGCATTAAAACATGGCTCTTTGCTGATGTTCAAAGTTCTCCACTTCCTGAGCAGGTGGAGCTGCTGCTGTGTCTTTCTGCAGACGGAGTCAGCAATCTCTGTTCCCAGATATCTACAGCTCTGGAGCTGCTCCACCAACTGAGCCTGGATGTTGAGTGGTACCAGTAGCCCCACTGGGTTTCTCTCGGGTACCCAGAGCAGAGCTCCTTGGTTTTTGTAATGCTCAAGCGAGCTTTGGGCAAAGATTTGAGCCAGGGTGTGGACTACCTGCTGGTGTGGTTCCTGGTGTCAGTAGGTGGGCTACCAGGACCACATCATCTGCACACTTACAAAGTGTCCCTGCTTTACATGGTCATAGCTTTTGAACCGTGGTTTAACAGAAGCGTTTTTAAAATGTCTGCAATGTCTGATTCTCACTGGTTCATTTTCATCGAACTTTTATTTATTATTACTTTTGTCAGATTCAAGTTATTTCTGTGACCGTCGTGGGTTTTTCTGCCATTAACTGAGCGGTGCCAACTGTTTTGTCCACGTGTGTACGTATATGGATGTGTAGGTTGTAGGTTCTGGTCACAACCAACAAAAACAGCCAGTATCCCCATGAGAGGAGCGCGGCGGCTGAAGGTGTGAACCTGGCTGATGAGGATGCTCAGTTCTCCATGATGGACCACATCTCAGGACTTGTGGACATTTTGGTGATTTTTTGTGGTGATTTCAGATAAGATCTGAGGAACTGTGGACATGTATTGTCCTGTCGGATCACTTCTGATTGTGGATGCAGAGGCAGTCACAACAAACACATGTTGTGCTGTTTGTTTCTTCAGTGTCTCACAGCTGCTTTAAAGCATCCACAGCTGGTTCTCTCCACAGAAACTCTCACCTGTAGAACTTCCTGTTTAAAGTCTTTTCTTCTCTACATCATGTGACCCAGCCCTGTGATAGACTGGCGGCCTGTCCAGGGTGTCCCCTGCCTTCGCCCTAAGTCGACTGGGATAGGCTCCAGCCCCCCCGCGACCCTAATGAGGATTAAGCGGTGTATAGAAAATGGATGGATGGATCATGTGACCCGTTAGCAACATGTTAGCATGACTGCTGCTAGCAGCTAGGTTGATCAGCTGCCTTCAGTCACATTATTTCCTCAGCAGAGCTGCTGCTCTCAGAACTCTGAGGTTACTGACCAACGGTACCTGGATGTGGCCGACCAATCATGGGCTTTACAGGAGGGGGAGGAGCTAAAACAGAGGGATGCAGTGATGTACAGTCTGTGGAAATAATGTGTTTCTGAACATGAAAGCAGGTAAACAGGCTCCATTATAACCCAGACATACAAATCTAGACGTGTAAATGACGAGAACCTTACCTCCATGAGCAGCCAGAAGAGGTTGAGCAGCTGCTGGATCAGCGGATGTTCGTCCACTGAACCGCCTCCCTCCAGGATCCCCAACAGGAAGTTCATGAGAACATCCTCCACCAGGTAAACTTTACACTGAGGAACATGAAGAAACAGCTCTTTATTTTCCCAGAATCAGCACACTGCTGCTTCAGAATTATCCAGTTCAAGCACAAGTTCATTCACTTGATTTGTAAAGGACATTAAATCCACCAGTCATTCATCAAATATTAAAATTTATAAATATGTGAAGTTAGAAGTTTACGGACGTCATCCCTCTGATTTCTGCCCTGCAGTCATGAACTGCTGTAAATGTCTGTTTGGTGAATATTTCAGTTTTCTGATGATGTATCAACCAGGTTACAGTAAATCAGGATGAAACCAACTCTACGTCTCTGTGAGTCACACTGACGCACAACAGCACCACAAGCAGCCTGATCACCACGAGAAGAGCATCATCCTGGACGTATCGGATTCATTTCAGACACTTCCACACCGACAGCAAGGGTTAGAAACAGAAGAATGAAGGGTCAGAGTCAGAAACAGCCAGTGTCACCATGAGAGGAGCGAAGTGGTTGAAGATGTGAGCCAGAGTGATGAGGATGGTCGGGTCTCCATGAAGCTTCCAAGCTGCACAGTCCTTCTCCACCAGCCTTTCCTCCTGCAGACACAAACATCACAGCAACGCTCAGTTCATTTCTGCACAGAGCTGCTGATTAAAGACACGACTGCAGTCAAAGCTGTTGCTCTTTACTCCACACTGAGGCGATGATTCTCACCTGAGCGTCGATGGAGGTAGACAGAACGTTCTTGATGTATCCAAGCAGCTTGTGAGCCTTCATCAGGTCTGCGGCCGGAGGGTTCTGGAGGGGCAGGTATCCGTCCACCGGGTACGTAAACGGGCTCAGGTTAAAGACCAACACCAGCAGTTTGTTCACAGCAACACTAACCCTTTCATCCACAGCAGCAGAGCTTCCTGCTAACTTCTCGAATGTCGTAAAAAATAAATGATTCTTGTTTCCACAAATTGCTTTGAACCAAATAAACTAGGCTGTCACAAGGGGGCGCTACAGGCTACATTACTGCAATAAATGCAAAAGAAGCTAGAAGCTAAAGCAGCTGTTAACTTCAGGAACAGTTTAGAACCAGGAGCGCTGCTGTCGGCCATGTTTAATGTCGTACTGGTCAGTCATGTGACCTACACGTTTCCTAGAGACGACGTTTTTGTGTCCATGACTTGCTGCTAGTTTTGTTTTGGACACTGATTTCCATGTTCATGTGTTTCTGTTTTTAGTGCACCGACAGTAAAAATAAAGCAGAAAAACCGTCTTTCTCATGTTTTTCATGACTCAAACCTTCATGGATATCTGAGCGGCCGGCTGCCAAAGTTGAAGGCCACCGACTCTTTGAAGGACAGACTGATGGCAGGAAAGTAGGCGACTCCTGGACCCGTCTTGATGCTGGTGAACGCCGTCCCCAGAGACTGACCGTTCCTGAGGACACAGGTAGAGGTGAGCCGCTGTCAGCTATAACATCTACGGGTTAGGGACAGGAGGCCGACTGCAGGCTATTAAACTGGGTTAGGGTTAAACAGACAAGAGCTGTGGGAAAAACTCAGAGAAACCAGAACAATAACAACTGATAAATAAATTAAAAATAAAATACTGATCATCAAAGCAGGCTAACGAAACGTATTTAAAGACTTGTTTATTCTTTAAAGCTACAGCTAGACATGTAGCTAAAGCTGATGATTCTGGACGAGGGGCGATACTACCGACTATCTGGTAGAACCATCCAGAGAGCTGGATGTGAGCTGACTGCACTGTTTGGAAGAAGACATGAAGGGAATGTAAAAAATATCAACGAATAGATGTGAAAATATCAAAACATTATCTGAAATAGAAATTTTATTTACAATCATTTAAAAATGCGGATATATTTAAGAAAAAAATCTAAACGTATCTAACAAATATCAAAAGCTAACTATAGGGCGCCCAGATAGCTCAACAGGTTGAGCGGGTGACCCATGTACAGGGGCTATGGTTCGACTCCAGCCAGCGGCTCATTGGCTGCATGTCCTTTCCTGACTTTTCTCCTCATGTTTCTCTGTCAGTCTTTCACTGTCCTATCCATTAAAGTTAACTATAAAACTTATTTCAAATACTTGTTCTATTATTATCTATGATCAAAGCTGTCAGATAAAAGTAACACAACTTGGAAACATGTTACTGCAGTACTTGAGTAAAAGTACTTAGTTACTTCGTCACACAAGAGGAACTGAGAGACTTACAGGCAGAATGTGATGGTTCCTTCGTCCAGGTCGATCAGGCAGCTCACGATGTCTCCGGCTGCCCACGACTGACACACAAACACAAAGTCAACATCTGCCACAGCCACAAACTCACCTGCAGCTTCACCTGCTCAGTATTCTCACCTTTCCATAGTTGGTCGTTGTCACGTTCCACTTCCTCACTCTGTTTCCATCGTAAGCGTACGAGTCTGGAGTGTCGCCGACTCCTTCCTGACAACAAACAGGCTTACAGTTAGGGTTTCTGCGAACGGTTATAGAGAGTTAGTTCTTAGTTATTAGAGTTAAATGAGGGAGTTATTAGACTTCACGCTAACACTAACTTAACTAACTCTAACGCTAACTCAACTAACAATAACTCCAACTCTAACACTAACT